CTTTGTGTTATAACCCCCTAGAATAAAGTCGGTGTCTGCAACCTGGGTTGCTATTTTGGATTCAGAATTTTGAGTCCTGGGTTGCTATCTTGTTGGCAGCATGCCAACTCACCAACAACCCTACCCCAATTAAATAACAAGTTCAGTTAGTCAAATAAAAATTGAAGAGAAACAGAAAATTTATGAAAATGATTAATTTATATGGAACATACCAAACAAAATCTGAACCATTTTATAACTTTTTCTTGTTGGCCATATTGCTGACAAAGATATATATAATCATGTGATAATTTTAATCTGGGCAAAAATCCATCCAATCCCCTACCCAAAATTATAAATTTGTTAGTATCAGAGAAACAAAGCATTTAGGAAAATGATTATACAAAACAAACACTATTTTACAACTTTCCTCTTAACATCAGAGTCCAAATGCAATTTCAGGGCCACCAACCCTGCTCTGAATTGTGACCTCCTGTGCTTGAGCAAGTTGCAGGTTCTCGTTGCTTTGATGGATCTGGATATTTACATGGCACTAATATTCATCAGCAGAGTTGCGAATTGGTCACAGAGCCATCCTTGCCATAGAGGTGGGATCGTTGCAGTCAACTTTTCGGCCAACACTTTGATGGATCTGGATATTTACATGGCACTAATATTCATCAGCAGAGTTGCGAATTGGTCACAGAGCCATCCTTGCCATAGAGGTGGGATCGTTGCAGTCAACTTTTCGGCCAACATGGCAGCGGCCATCTCTGGTCTGGGTACTGTGAGGGAAGATTAGTGAAAGCGTCATTGACGATTGGTGCAGTCTTGGTAAATTCCAGGACCATGCTGCCCCCATCTGGAATTTGGTAGCATCATTGTATCCTTGGGGACCGCAGGTCGGATTAGCCTTTTGTACACGAGGAAGATGTGTGAATGACTGTAAAGTGTTCAAGGTAGCATAGCATGCATGCTTCAACGCCTGCTATTTTCCTGTAATCAAACATTGCATACTCAAAATGTTTCATATTCAATTGTGCTGCCTTGATATCTTCTTGTAATTATATAGTAATATTAATATTATTAATGATTACGAAAAGTAAAATATTATCAATGAAAATCTTGTAATTACCCAGCAATGATCTGCTCCACGTTTTGATTCCAATTAAAATGTTTATATAAAATAAAAAATATCAATACAAATAAAAAAAAGTACCTCTGGTTAGTTATTAACACTTTTTCTTTAGGAGACCCAAACCAACCAAACAACAACACTCACGTTTTGTCACCTTTGGACTCTGTCAAAAAATAAATAAATTGTTTTTCCAAGAAAAAAAAAATCAATTCGCGTCTGTCCTACCAAAAAAAAAACCAATAGGATAATTAATTAGCGTGTACATGTCGATCATATCACAAACTTTTTTCGGATTTTAAAGTTAAAAAAATGCCTCAAAAACGCAACACTAAAAGCAGAACCAAAGCCAACAATTTTGAAGAAGCGACAAGATCCAAGTAAGTGTTTTAAGGATGGTGGTGGTGGTTATCGCCCGCCACCCGTCGTTACTCTAGTTATATAGTGTAAATGAATTATATTCTCTGTAACTAATATTGGTTTTTAATTTCATTTTTGTTTAACACCAAAAGAAAAGATAATGAAGATGATGATATGGAAGGTGTTAGTAGCAGCAACAATAATGGCAGTTGTGGCATTATGAATAAAAATAATTCAAATATAGAGAATGAATTAAATTTTATCAATCTAACACAAAATAGTGATGGTGACGATGATGGAAAGGAAGATAGCAATGTTAAGGATATTCAAACAACGGCTACTGAAATTGAAAAGGCTGCTGATGCTAAAGCCATTAATATTAATCAAAGTTTAATTAATAATATCGCTAGAACTAATAATATTATAAATAATTTTAATAACACTAGTATTACTATAGATTATAATGGTAATGTCACTACTATGGATAATAATTGTATTAGTAATGGCAGTAGCAGCAGAAACACTGAAAATGGCAGTAGCAGTGGTGGTAGTGACAATGGTGATAATAATAGTTATAGCAATAACAATGGTTATTATATCTTTCAACCATCACCATCACCTTATTTAGTAAGTAAATTCCATTCTCATAATTCTCATTGAAATACAGTGTTGGAAATTCAGATGTGCAGGGTATGTGCACTAATCAAATTTGCAAACTATCTTAGCAAAAAAGTTAACAAATTTGTATAACTGACACAATTGAATTTCCAACACTGGTTGAGTATGTAAATTTGTCAGGATCTAATAATTATATTTTTTTGGAACAAAAATTAGCATTGTTTCAAATATGCACTAAAAGCCATATCGGAAACAATTGATGAATCTCAAGATATAGCCCATTTAAATAATGTAGTTGAAAAATACCAATTCACAATAGACAAAATAACAAGAGAATTGGATCAACTACAGCTAGAAATGTACAATGACAGTACATTATATAACAATAATATAGAGGTATTTTTTAGTTATTCTTGTTTATTAATTATTATTTATATTTTAGAAAATTGTAATATTAATATTTGCATCAATATTACAGGATCTGCAGATATCAGAGGAAGAGGATGACAATGAAGGGAAAATAAACCAAGAAGATAGTATTGATGATGTTGTTGTTTTGGAGAATATAGTAGAAAAAGATGAAGAGGAAAGACAAGAAATTGTAAGTACCACCAGTATCATTATGTCTACAAAGGATGATAATGATAGCAATGATGGTGATGATCTAATGGACCTGACAAATAATTTAAATGAATCAACAAATACCAGATGTAAGTGCTGATTTTTAAAGATGTGTATAAAATTCAACCAATTGAATTTGCTTAAATAATTATTTGCATATCAATTTATAAAAGTGACTAAATGATATTCTATACATTATTTTAAAATAAAAAATAGGCTTTTACACAAAACCACCAAGGTACAGGCCGTATAATATAGCTTTAAATGAAATCAGACGACATCAAAGAACAACAAATCTTCTTCTAAGAAGAATACCTTTTTCTAGAGTAGTTAGTGATCAGAAGATTATTATTACATTATTAATAATCATTTAATATACAAATACTAGTCAATTAATCATTATGTATATATATGTATAGGTTGAAGAAATTGCCACAAACATATTTCAACAACATTCTAATATGGGATTTGAGTTTGAATCCACAGCCATTACAGCACTTCAAGAAGGTAATTAATTGATTTATTTTTTGATTGAATCCTACATGTATGAATTTGTGAATTTATATGTGTGTGTATAATATTATATTTTTTTTTAATTAGCTGCTGAGACATATTTAATTGAGTTGTTTCAGGATGCGTAAGTTGATTTAATAATTTTCAATCTGTAAAAAGATAATGATTCTATTTATTCTATTAACAATATTACTATTAATAAAAAAAACTTCTTCCCCATTATCATCATCAGTCGACTATGTACAATTCATGCTAAGTGAGCAACACTGTCAAAAGAAGATATTGAATTAGTACTAAATATTCGTGGTTAAGGGGTTGATGAGTTGATGATGTTTTTTTTTAATTTTTATTGGATTTTCTTTTTTTTAATATTAATATAATTCAGTGTGTAACAAAAAAAGCTTATTAAGTTAGGGTTATAATTAAAAAAATATATTAATATTAATATTATCACAATTACACTAAATTTTGATCCCTGTAATGTGTGCAATATAATGTTCACTTTGTCTGGTTTTGTTGCAGTATGTCCCATATGTAATTACACTTCCTGTGACATATCGTTTGACTGATATATCATTTAAGCTCTCTGTTCAATTAAGGGAGAACGAATGCAAGTGGGTTTGTGGCTGTCAAATGAGTGTTTCAGTTTGTTGCACAAAAAGGAATTTTTTATTTACGTAGATCTCTCTTAGTTTGGTAAGTTTATAAATAAATCGATCATTAAATTTATTGGTACACAAAAGCATACAATGCCCGAAAGTTCTAGTCTAACCATAAAGTTTATTGGTCGAAATGTAAAGAAAGATTTTTTTTTTGTTTATTAAAGATCGCCATATAAATTTCCTAATTGCGTCTCAATGAATTTCGTTTATGTGAAGCAAATTTTTAAGTTCGTTGTAACGACGCGAATTTAATTATAATTCGTCAAAGCGAGGTTCATTGTATGAATGACACCTGGTTCCCGAGCTTGCACAATGTCCACCGTCTGTTATGATTATTATCAAAATTTGGCTGATGAAAACGCCGACAACTGAACAACAAGAGCAGGAAACAAATGAACAGAAGCAGGATATTCGATTAAGATCATGTTGTCAGCAAGTTACTGTTGTGCAACTAGCTGCTGCTATTACTATAATTGGGATTTTTAAATAGTTCCGGTTTTGTTACATTATGTGCTTTAGTTTTCTACTTACTATGGCACTAAAAATTTACATAACAGAATTTTGTCAACAATCGGACCGTCTCTTCCGCCTCTTTCACTAACTATGACAATTGGCTTTACTATAAGGAACAGCGAATGATGAACTTTCAAAATACCCTAGCGGAGGGTAATTCATAAAATCCTTATCATCAAAGGCGAATTTATGATTCATCATGACAACTTTGGAAGTGTATGAATTATTGTAATTGACGTGAATAGACTCGAGGGAATTCTTCATTGTGACACATTCAGAGTTAATATAATATTAAGAACTTGTACAGATTGCTAAAAAAAAAAACAAGGATAAAAAACATTAACGCCGAGAGTTTATTGTAAGTTACACTTGAAATTTACTTTTTAGACGAATAAAAACACCAAATAAAAAGTATAATAGTTGAGTATATATTATTCAAAAAATTCATTGATACGCCTATATATAGTTATTTATTTATATATTTATACATTCTACATAATAATTGGGAAAAATTTTTTTTTGGGTATTTTTTCTCCTAGATATTTTTTTTTTATTTTCTATTATTTTTATTTTTAATTTTAATAATTAATTAAAAAAAAATGTCAAGTGATGATGAAATTGTTCGCGAAGAAAATGATAAACATTATCACGATAAAGTTTATCACTTGGTTCTTAGGTATTATTTTTTTATTATTATCGCAATTTCTTTTAATTTGATTGTATGTATGCTTAAAGCAAATTTCTTTTCCTATTATTTTTCAATCAAAATTATTAGCCCTAATGGCCATCATATGGCAATCTTTAAATCTGGTAAATATTTTTGTCCCATGTAAAATAAAGGTTTTCGTATCAACACCACTATTACTAATTACTACTATTACTATTATTATTGTTACTTATTTATAGATACGTTGGAATTTAAGGTCATTGAAACAAAAGATGCCCAAAAATTAAATACTATACCGTATAATAAAATAGATCCAAAAATTTTTAAAAAGTGGACAACACAACAAAATATCATCACACCACAACTCAAGTCAACACAAAGTCCAAATTTTAATGAAAATGGAAATAATGGAGATACTAATTTTATATGCAGCGAACCAGACGAAATTGAAGATAAATTACATGATTATGATAATGATTATGATAATGTTACCGATAGGCCGCATACGGAGCTTTTGGAATGGTCAATCTCGATATCAAATAACTTTCGTCAAGATAATAAATCAAAACTTTACTTGGCAATTTCTTGTATAATGTTTGGTGACATGATTAAGCATAAGGATAAAAAAGACGGGAGTGATGCTAATGAAGGATATAAAGAACAGGCATTTTATGAGATAGAAGCTAAGGAGGCTGCTGATGGTGATGATGATGATGATGAATCAAATGATGAGTCTTTCTCCGATAAAAAGAATGGATTAATGAAAACAGCCGTTAAAGCATTCAAAAATTTGCAACCATTGAAAAAATTAAAAGACATTATGACTTCCAATGTTGGTAGTGGCGAGGATCCTGAGATTGCTGCTAATAATACTCCTAGTGGGAAAAGTGAGAAAAACGAAAATAATAAAGATGGTGATGATAATAAAGGTTCTTTATATTACACAAGCGATAGAAAACATAAATGCAAAACAATCATACTTACAATAACATTAGAAGATGAAGGTCATAATGATCCAGATAATTATACCATAAATGTCTCAAGTGACCAAACCAAAAACTTTTTCTCCCTAAATGATAAAGCCGGAATTTTAACTTTCCTACCAAATGGTTACGATATAGATCAAAGATTTGCTGATTCTCTTTCCATCAAATCACCACATAATTCAACTTTAAGTGATAACAAAACTCCAGTTAGTAATATTAACGATAGTAATCTTAATTATAATAACAACGATAGGAGAAATTTCATGAAAATTAAAAGTGATGATGATAATATTGTAAAAATTAATAATAAGCTTAGTGGATTAACGCATTCCGAATTAGCAAAGTTATTATCTTCATCAGTCATGACACCGGAAATATCATCACTATTAAACGCTCATAAGAAAACAACTCTGGTCCTATTTAATTCATCAGGTATTTATAGGATAATATTAAACACCAAGGAAAACAAAATGGATGAAGTTCAAACTTATCAATATCCACACAATTTTGAAGAAGATCTGGTCAGATATTATGCTAATAAACCATGTATAGGTAGACTGAGTAGATGTATTTATGAGAACTATCTTTTATTTGATCAGTATAAAGACAGAGTTCAAACTATGGAAGTATACAATTTAATGGACATGGAACTAGAACAAAGCTTGCAACTAAAAGATGATGATGACAGTGATGATGATGATATTGATGATGATGATATTGATGATGAAAATAATAATAAGAAAAAAAGTCATTTGATTAAAAGTTATGGCATGTCCACTTATGCAATTTCTACCAATAGACAATTATTAGCATACTCGAGAGGAATTGGTAAAATTACAATTTATTTGATGGAGAATGGACTGGAAATTGCCTCAAAGGATTTTGGTGAAGACCAGCAAATTATACTAACTGAATTTTTTAATGATGATGAACAAGTATTGGTACTAACTCAAGCTAAAAATGATTCAAGACCAGTAATAAACATTTGGAATTTATTTTACGATAGTGCTGGTGATATTAATAATATTAATAACAATTTCCAGAATAATAATAATGTAATGAAAAGTGTAAGAGATTTTCGTGGATTGTTCCCATCAAAGAATATTGAGAGATCTCATTTAGCAAGAAATTCAAACGTTGTATTAAGAATATATGGTGATGGAAGCATAGTCAACATTACGAATCATGAAGATTTTATAAAAGCTTGTTCAATTGATAAATTGGACCTGAGGAAAACTTTGGAGAAAAATAAAGTCTACACAATCACTAAAAAATTTTTGCAGGAATCAAATTGGCAAACTCCGAATGTAAATCATAAATTGTATATACCTAATGATTCTCTTAAATCATATAATAATTATATCAGCGGTGTTCAGCTGTTGGTTGATAATCAGGAGCCTTGGATAATTAATAACCAATGGCAGAGGATTTCTGCTTTTCTAAATAAAGAACTAACACTCCAATTATTAATTGGTTCAACAACTGTACAAATATGGAGGAAAAATGATGATGATATAATAATATTAGAATATATTTGGACAATAAATGATGATGATGATGAGGATGATGAGGATGATGAGGATGATGTTGACAATGCCAATGATGATAATTTTTTTAAAAAACTTTTTAATCGTACTAGTAACAACAAGAACAATGATGATTTTAATAAAAATTATAAAATCCGTCATTCTATACTTGTACAAGAATTGTATATAGGAGAAGGAACTTTTCTATTGGATGTAGCATGGGGACCAAAAGCTTCACAAAAAGCAACAATCCGATGGCCATATAAAGATCACCATGTCACACCTATTATACATGCATGCAAAGCATTAGAACATCTTAACGGTAAGCGAGATCAGTTGGTTGGATATGAAAAACAGCATAAGTTTGAAAAAATGTTGGAATTCATAACTAAAATTATTTGGAGATTTGTTGACAATAAACCAGAAATGTGGAAATTGATAGATGTTAGATATGATTTGATGTCAAAACTCGTTAGAGGTGGTTCCAACTCTTTGATTAAGTTCATATTATTTGGCAAAGAAGAAATTTTCAGCAAAAACAACTACAATAATAATAATATTAATGGTTTATATGGTATAGAGAGAAGGTGTTCACACGATTCTAAAAGAAAGCTGCATGTGCCTATGACTGAAAAATGGAAAGTTATGTCTGAAATTTTTAAAACTTACGATACAAATAATGTTAGTAGTAATTATAATAGTGTTGTTCGTAATGATAAAAAACCTATCCAAAAAAAATTAAAAAAGAAAAAAAAAGAAAAAACTGTACTGGAACTAGCAATTGAATATTCAAATGGTAAGTAAATCACTATTGACATATAAAAATTTTTTTAACACATTAAAAAAAATGTTAACGGCAATTTTATCGTTATTGTAAAGGTGGGGAACGTAAAAAATCAATAATGGTTGGGTATTTTTTAGATTATTATGGTAATAATGCACTTGAACATCTTGGTTGGATGGTGACAGCCTCGAAAGCCTTGCCACACCTTTATAAACATAATTTGGAGCATTATGTCGAAGATCTATTTTATAAAGAGTGTTTTGCTGAAAAGGATCTTGACGGTAATTATGCAATTGATGATCTAATAACAAAAGAGGAGATGTTAAAATTCCGACGAGCTGAATTCAAAGCATTTAAAGGCAATACAAAACTCAAACAAACAGATATGGTAACCAAATTCAGTTTGAAGCAATTTGCCGGTGATTGTTTGATCAAATGTTTCGGGATGATAACGTCGCTTACCAATAGTACTAGTAGCAGTACAATGCCGCCTCCTATAGTGTTGAGAGTTGTTCCATTTCCCAACTTTACACTTAATAGTTTGCCAACACAAAAATTGCAAGAAGTAATTGACGATGTTAAGGATTTTAATATGCCAAATTTTCTAGTATTGTTGAAAAATATATTTAAACATGTTTTTGTACCAAGAGGTTATCAAGTAGGCAGGAAAAAATTGGATGTGTTGAGTCCATTTGCGCAAGTTATAAAATTGGATGAAGATATTTTTATATTTGATAATCCTGCAATGGAGGCAATAATAGATTTTAGGTGGAACCCTGCCCGACTCCATTTCTTGCATTCATTCATTCTATTTTCTCTATATGCATTAAGCTATGGTATTTTGTGTTACGCATTCATCACCAAATTGAATGTAGGACCAGGATTAGGAATTCTTTTGATAACATTGGTAGTTTATTTTTATTATGCGGCCTATTATTTATTTTTTATTGAGATGAAACAAATGAAACATTATGGATGGAGAAATTATCTCTTTGACATTTACAATATATTTGATTTGGTCACGTTATTTAGTCCAGTGTTTGTGATGAGTCTTTGTTTGAAGACAACTTTTGATTTTCAAACTGGATTTATTGGTGAATCAAATGATCCAACTTTGGTGACTTGGATGTCTTTCACCATTCTTTTCATGTGGTGTGAATTTGTAAGTGTAGAAGAACTATTTATTTATGAGTAGATGGACGGATGAATGAATTATTTTTAAAGCAACCAATTAATTAATTACTCTCTTTCATTTGCTTTTAGATTTTATACCTTAGATTATTTGATGCTCCGTGTGTATACATTTATATAGTTATAAATATTTTAAAAACTGTATGGCCCTTCTTGTTATTCATGGTTGTAATAATTGTGGCATTTGCGCATACCATGTAAGTGAAAATAATTTTCCCTTCACCTTCATATCATCATAATTCTAACATACATATATATAAATTATATTATAGGTTCATATTACTTCAAAATCCAACTTCAATTGGTTACGAACCAAATGTAAATTCATATGTAGCATTCGATCCCACAACAAATGACACAATACCAAATTTAGCATTTAAAACAGGTTTTGATCCAAATTCAACGTCTGATAATCCATTCTCTAATTTTTTTACAGCAATTGAAGCAACGTATTTTTGGATAAATGGTGTTTGGACGCAGAGAGATTCTTGGAATACCTGGGCTATAAAAGTTTTATCTATGATTGCTAGTATTATGTTGGTTAGTGTTATGCAAAATATGTTTATTGCTTTCATGAGGTATGTCATATGTAAAATTGTTATTATTAGTAGTAGTAATGTTATTATTATGCTAGTAGAGTAATGTTAATCGTCTTTTAATTGATTAATTAATTAATTATTAATTAATAGTGGAGTATTTGAAGAAGCAGCATCAAAAGGTCGATACGCATGTCTTCGATTCAAAGCAGATATGATCGCAGATTATGAAGCACTGGAACATAAGAAATTTTATTTTTGGCCAGCACCAAATGAACCAAAGTATATATATTATGTTGGTCATAGTGATAATTTTGATGAGTGGAAGGAGAGATCTAAAGATCGCCGAGGTTGTATATTTAAACGATATGAGAGTAGGAATGACTTTCTACAGTATAAATTTGATGATGACGATTTAAGTACCGATGAAAATAGTTTATGGTATTTTAAAAAGAAAAGGTCTAGTAGCGGTAGCATCAGCAACAGTAACCGCAACAGCGGCATCATCAGCAATCGCAACAGTGGCATCATCAGCAACAATAATATTATCATTGGTAGTAGTAATTTTGATGGTAGTTTTAAATCAAAGAGCCGTATGATGAAGACACCTCTAAGATTTCAAAATAATAATAATAAATCCATTATAAGAAGTGGTGCTGATTTTAATAATACTAGTATTGATAACAAAGATGAAAATAGAATTAATAAACAACTACAAGAAAACAATGAATTAATTAAAAATTTAAATGCTAAAATCACATCATTTGATTCAGAAGTCGCTGCATTAAAAGATTTAGTCAAGACTTTAATATCAGAATTAAAGGATGCAAAAAGCAATGATGGTGATAGGAAAGATGGAGGTGAAGGTGGGGATGATGATAAGACCAAGAAAGAATAGATTATATGAACATTAAACAAATATTAATAGACAATGTGTGTGGATAGTTATAGATTATTAAGTGTGAATAAATTATTTTATTATATATAATATATATAGATAAATAAATGTCTTTGTAAAATTTATTTTTAATTTAATAATTTCTATGTTTGATATTTTCAAAAAAAATAAAAATAAAAATAAAAATT